AAGTAATCACAAAAAGCTTTGGAGATATCTTTATCATTTGACAGTTCTTTTCCTTGATGAATTATGGAAGTGATGAAATTTGCATTCCTATGGAAAGTGGCAGTCTTATGGAAAAAAGCCGTGTTTGCATCTCCCTCCTTTAACCATTGTATATCGCAATTAATTAGTTATGCAGATGCAGGTTATTTATCAAATGCACAAAAACCTTGATTCCAACTGGGTTATCTATTTATGTATGGTCGTACAATTGTATCATAACAATCTACAAAATAAACTATAGCATCTACTTCTTCAAATCATGTAGAGATAATTGCAATTCACGAGACAAGTTGAGAATGTGTTTGGTTAAGATTGATGACCCAACATATCCGATAGACACATGGTCTCGCTTTTGGGAAAGAAACTCCAACAATGCTCTATGAAAATAATATTGGGAAAGAAACTCCAACAATGCTCTATGAAGATAATATTGCATGCATAGCTCAGCTAAAAGGCGTATACATCAAAGGAAATAGAACGAAATATATTTCACCAAAGTTCTTTTTCGTACTTGATGTTGAAAAAGAATGGTGATATTGATGTTCAACAATTCCGTTCAAGCAATAATCTAGCAGATTTCTTTATAAGGCATTACCTACTACAACTTATGAGAAGTTTAGTGCACATGCAATATTAGAATGCGTAGGCTGAGTGATCTTTAAATAATGTTTATATTAGGGGGAGTAGTTACAAAGAATGATGTACTCTTTTTTCTTCACTAGGATTTTTTAACCAGTGGATTATTTTCTAATAAGGTTTCAATGAGGCATGTTCCTTATTAAAATGGACGTTTAAGAGGGAGTGTTACAAGAATGAATGTCCAAAGACTTCTATGGTAAGATATCAATTTGATATTTGTCATAATACCTTAATTGGTCCCTTTAATTGCTCATTTTGATCATTTGTATCTTACTATACTCCTTAATTCGGAAACTACATCATGTTTATGTTTTTTTAAAAGCAATCAAGTTTTTCTTTTGGACCAATATGAAGTTTGAATACAATGGCTTGTGTACTGAGATATAGAAGCTGCTTTACTTTTTTTTTTTTTTTTTGAAAAGAAAGTTGCTTTACTTTTAGGTATTGTGATCTACCAGATGATACATTCCTCAAATAATTTTTATGATTTTTTCTATAAACTTGAAATTAGCTTGCGAGGGTACTTCGATATTGTTTTTGTTGTTTTTTTTAAATACTCAAGACCAGACCGATACGTTTTATAAAATTAACTACTCAGACTTGTAACGGGTAGGCGGAAGGGTATTGTGGACATTTTTTGTTACGTTCTAATCCTATATCACCTTATAATGATAAGTAACTAAACATGACATAGGTACTATAAATGTTAATAACAAATTGAATGAAACACAATATTAAAAAATTTTAACTCCCTATATATTTTTAGTAAATAAAATTAATCCCAATATATAATAAGTCCTAAACACAAACATAACTTTAAAGTATGCATTTAATAATAGATTGATGACTGATATAATGGTCACATGAGTGCGTGTCTGTTTGAGTTGGAGATATCTTTCCCTTGTCATGATTGCAAATGACCTTTTTTTTTCATGTTTTGATGAAAGAAGGGAGAAAGGAGTGAACGAGGAAAAAAAATGAGGAATCGTTGTTGGCAGAGTTGATTCTGGATTTGATAATGAGGGGTGATAATGACGATGCTGATAATGGAGGTTTGGGAGAGAGGGATTTGTAAGTGTTATGGACTTGGTGGATTTTGAGAGGGGAGAAGTCGAGTTGTTGTTGGAGTTGAATACAACCGCTATTTGGCACGCAAGATGGGCGCGCAGCCCATCTGGCATGCCACAAGTAGGGGGGTGGGACCCACATTTGGTTGTGGGTCCCACCACCCTGTTGTGGCACGCGAGATGGGCTGCGCGCCCATCTCGCGTGCCAAATGGCATTTTCGAGTTGAATATATAAAACAAAGTACATAATATAGTTTAAAATGTATTGAATGTAGTTATTAAATACCAGATACAGTTAACATGATACTAGATATAGTTAACATATACTGAATGGAGTTAATAGATATAAAGTATATTCAATAAAAACTGATTAATTTTACATCCAAGCTGATATAAATTGCATCTAGGCTTTAACACTAACAACGAACTCTAATTTTTTATGTCAATACTATAAATATTTGATATAGTTAAGCATAGCACTTTGTTTAGGTTTTGATTGCTGCTACTTTTGTTTATAGTGGTTCAAAAGAGAGGGGATTGGGGTGAGAGTGAGGATTAAAAAGAGGAGGATGAGGATTGGGGTTTTTTTGGGTGGGTGGTGGTGTGTTGGGGGGGGGGGAGTAGGCTAATGATAGTGAGGGATGAGTGAGAATTGGGGATGAACTGGATCTATCAGTTTTTTGACTGTAAAATCACAAGTAGATCTTTATTCTCTTACTTTCTAATTAATCTTATGTGTTTCTGTATTAAAGTTAAAGATTCAATGTTAAACTTACTTGTAGACAATTAAAGATATTTAAATTTAAAAGTTGGATGTGAAATATGTGAACAGAAGTTACCTCAACACACAAATGTTAATCTTAGTTGTCAATTTTATTGGCCAAGTGTCGCTTAACTCTTAAATTATAACAATATATACTATAATATATACTCTGTAATAATAGTTATACTCTAAAGTTAACAACAAATGAACAAACATAATAATCAATGTCCACAATTGACATATATTGTACAAATTTAACAGTTGTGCTATAAACTTAACATGTACCTGTTAACTATATCCAGTATCCATTAACTATATCCAGTAAGTGTTAACTATATCCAGTATCATGTTAACTATATTCAGTATTATGTTAACTATATCCCACATCATGTTTATTATATTTAGTAGCACGTTAACCATATCCAATACAATTTTATGTTTGTCTAGTTTTGACGTTTATATACACACAACAACATAAGCAAATCTCCATGATATTTTCTTTACATTTTCTTTGTACATGACCTGCTACAATCACAGTCTAAGAAACCTCGTCTCTCTTTGGCATTTTATCAAATAATTTACAAGCAATCTCCAAATCATGAACTTTTTTTGACATACTACTCGAAGAAATCAAATCTTACTCATCCATTTATTAAATAAACTAGCAATTACCACTAACAAATAAAACTGCAAATAATATAATCATGAGATTTATTTGAGAGAAATGATGAAGGGGTGAGTGAGGAGGTTGTAGGCGGTTTTGATGACAGTGGCGTTGGCTATAGTGAGGGGAGGGGGAGGGAGTTTGACAAAGGAGATGATGGTCTCGACCATCATGCATGAGAGTTTAGAGGAGGAGGAGGAGATCGTAGGGGGAGGTGGAGAGAGGGAGATGGCAGGATCGGAAGGAAGAGCAACTATGAAGGATAGGGTTAAGGTTAGGATTAGGAGAGAGGAGCAACAAAATTAGGAACGACGTCAATGACAGATGTGAGGGAGGAGGACTTAAGGAGAGGATTGAGTTGGGAGGAGGAAGAGAGAGGACAAATTTTAGCTTCTTCTATGCTTCTACTTGACCAATAAAAAATGATTGTCACCAAAAGACATAAAATATTATTATACCTTAAAATTTTATATATCCTTAAACTGCCCACGTGGTAGACTTAGTAGGATGAATCATGTGGCTAACAATATCCAACCCGAGTCTAAGCCGGGAGCTGGCTGACTCATCTGTGTGACCCCGAGTCCAAGATGAAAGGACGTCTTCAAGTTGAGATCTACCAGTTGAGTCCAGATTGGGTCGAAAAGCGTCTTCGGGTCAGATTCAGTAGGGAAAAGTCCGAAGCAATGAATAATCAGTGGTCTTTGTCAACATTGTTCGCATTTAATGTAAAACAGTTTAACGCCCATAATAGGCCACCAAATCACCATCGCATTTAATGCATAGCTAAGCGTCATAATGACTTCTCAGACGACGCTCACATTCCCGTCATTCTGTCACCATCATATGTAAAGCGACAACGCAGTTTCAGATCAACTAGTTGGTCAGATTATCAAAATACCCTCACAAAATTACTATATACGACATCATCTTTACTATTCTAAGGCACGCAATTTTACGCACAAAAAACCCTAAAGATTATATTCTACTTCTCTTCAGATTATCAGATTAGTCACTGGCTTGAGCACCAGATGGCACGCTAGAGAAAACAACCTCTATGGCCTCCAACCTCTGTTGTTCTGTGCAGGGTATTCAAAACAGTCAACCATCAGATGAGATTAAGAGATCCTAAGATCATCTTTATCTCTCCTAGACCACACACTAATTTCCCACATCAACAAATATAATTAGAAAATGGTTTGCTTTACATGGTGATTACCAAGTAAAATGATTGGTAGAGATCGAGAAATTAATTTTAGAACAAAATCTTAAAATAGATAATGCGACTCTACACTAATCATTGATCTGGATTGAAATCTAAAGAAAATGACATTCTCTTGTGGTTAATCCTATAAAAAAGTGCTGATAGATTCTCACAAATACTGGACCTTCTAGCTAAGCATGTATACGCGTTCATCAGGCGCCTAATTAAGTTTACTTATGACCTCATCATTTATATTTATGGCCTAATTAGTTGTAAAGTGACGGGGTCTTAATATAGCAAGGACGAGCGTGATTTGAAGAATATAGTCACAAAGTTCCCAAAGAAATCAGAATAAAAAAATTTCAAGAAACACCCATAGTATAATACGAACGGATATCTTATTGCAACGGATGTCAAACAACGTAAAATGGAACACCTCCAAATCCATCGATTCGTTACAATGATAATACGACATATTATATGACTACCAAGTACCAAACTCAAAATAAGAGAAAAACAAAACGCGGAACAGCTTTATGCCAAACTTGGACTGAAGCCATCAGTAACTTCATTTTGACATGAGAAGTTTAATATAAAGTTAGATGAAAGGAGGTCAAATTTCCAGCGGAAGAAAACACGGATGATGAGCCCTCTCAATAATGCTCAAACTAAAGAGACAAGCTGTTCCTTTTACAATACCTGAAGCTGAATTCTGAAGCCATTGACAATATCTTATGACATCATACAAACCCTCCCACTCCGCCTCAGAACAAATCGAAAAAGAACCAGAACAGAATGAACAAGTCAAGAAGCGACTATACCCCTGTATACATCTTTCTAATCCAAAATCTTCTTATGTACTAAGTTACACCGGAAATCAAGAAAACCTCTATCCTGCTACTGGGACCTCAATTAAGAGAGAAAATAAACAGATGGGATGATTGTCTGCTGCCAAAGCCTCTCTCAGCCACGAGGAAAATAACGCTTGCAGAAAACTGCTTTTTATCAAAAACTACACTTCATTCTCGTGCTTTTGTTCTGGAGTTGAGCCAAATGGCATCAGTGCCGATGCCCAATGGTGAGAGGGAATGGACTAACATCTAGTTGTAGATTTTCACAGGCTTCTCATATGTATGACGGTTCTGCATAAGGTTGAAAATATCACATTTAAATAAAAACACTAGCCACATATTTAAGGGTCAGCAATCCAGATTGTTAAGATAGGTTCCATTGCAAGGGTTATGACTAGAAAAGTCAGAAAATGGTGAATGCAGCCTTTAGATATTAGCATTTCAGTTTCAAATTTCTCTTGGTTCTTGAGGAGAGGAAGAAAATAAAGCTAATTTGAGCCAAAAAGTTTAAATGAGCTTGAACAAACTCATCTTTTTGCCAAAGAAAAATGGGATTTTACCTGGCTGGCCGCGTATGCTCTTTTCGGGGCTGTATCTGCATGTTCCAATCCAAGATACTGCTCCCAAGCTCCATAAACATCTCTTCTCTAAATAGAATTAGACAGATGAATATTGCAACTGTACGGACTAACAAGAAGTGTAGAAACGATAAAATTAATTGAGTTAAAAAAAAGTACCTGAAATCGACTAGAAATAACATCGGAATCTTGAAGATATTCGGGACGGCCAAGAGATAGGAATGCAAACTTCCACTGGAAACATACCCCAATCACTACTTAGAATCATTACAAACGTTATAACATATATCCACTAGAAAAGAGATAAACGAGTAGAAGGGAGAAAATATGAGATTCGTCAGACGATGACGAGGTTAATATTTGCAACTGGCTGTTTCAACCTCTAATATTGTTGTCAGAACATTGTGTTTCCAACCTCACTGTTTCAAAGATTGCTTGCTCCATGCATAATGGTAGAGGCTCTCCAGTACCTTATGGGATAAAGCTCTAATGTTATGAAGATACTGAGAGTTATCTATAAAGCTTGTACATTATACTTGGGCATATTTGCACATTAAACCTTATTACATCTTTACAATAAAAAAGAAAAACCCCCCCCCCCCCCCCCCCCTC